TTGAGGAACTGAAAACATGCCTGTTGAAAGGCACTATATGGTACAGCGTGGAAGTTTTAAAAGAAGCCATATGTATAAGAGACTCTTCCCCTGCTGCTCTGTGGACAAGAATAAAATGTGAGTGTATGTGCATGTGTGTGTGTGGATACACGCAAGTGCATTTGCCTGTGTGCATGCGTGTGTGTGTGCGCAATCAGCTATTTATAGCTGGTGATGCTGACTTTCTACTTCTGCTAGCAGGCTTCTTTGGAGTGGCATAGATGTGAGAGAATTTTGTTGTGTCCTACAGTATGGCCTTGAACTTGCTATGTACTTCAACCTGGACTCTAACCTACTGAGCCTTCCAAGTGCTTAGATTATAAACATGCACCATCATAATGGTACTTTTTTGTTTTAATTTTATATACACACACAAAGCAGTTCTATTTAAGAAACAATAAAATCCCATCAACCTCACACAGTAAGGTCAAAAACGTTCCTTAACTTTCATGAAATGTATAGAAGTTTATTTTTGGTTCAGTACCTACACTGAGGAAGACAAATAAATAAAAGCCTCTGATACGGTATTGGGCTTGGAGGCTCGGAAAGAAACATAAATAACAATAAAAACCTTTTTGTCTTCCCCCACTCAAGTCCCAACATCCAGCCAAACATTCATTTAAACCCTGTGTAGGAGGCTGAGTGAGGTTTTGGTAGATACACAACTAACCAGAAAGAAAAGGCAAGGTTATTAACCTCGGTAAGACTCTAAAGTACAAGGCAGCCACATGACCCCAGTTCAAAGGCGACAGGACCCACAAACGCATTCCGACCAGCTTCCTATGCCTCTATTTTATTTTGTTTGCTTTTATGTTTATTTATTTATTTATTTATTTACCCATCTATTTATTTATTTATTTATTTATTTATTTATTTATTTATTTATTTATTTTTGAGACAAAATTTGATAAGAAAGCCTATGCTAGCCTGGTGCTCTCTTGGTAGCCCAGAGTAGCCTGAAACAAATAAAAATCTTTCTATGTCACTTCCTTGTGTGGCTTCATGCATTTTAAATTTGGATAAATACCCAAAGGTTACCTACATTTGAGCCCATTGTTTAACATGGATACTATAGACAAAAAACAAAATGGGAAACCACAGGATTTAGCCTGGTGAGTCTTCCTGATGCTTCCTATCCACATGCCCTCCTAACCTGCGAGATCCAGCCCAAGTCCCATATCCAGTGCCCTGGTCTATCTGTATCTTAAGATGTACTGTAGAGCCACAGTGACATGATAGATAGATAGGTAGTTAGTACTGGCATCAAAAAAGGTATGTAGACCAATGGAACAGAAATCTAATATCCAAACATAAGCATATGTAAATTCAACCACTAGATATTTGACAAAGATGCCAAAAACATAGGCTGGAAAAAAGAAAACATCTTCTACAAATGGGGCTAAAAAAAATCCTGGACATCCACATGCCAAAGAACAACAACAACAAAATTGTCACCTTGCATAAAAACTAACTCCAAATAGATGAAAGAGATAAACATGAAACCTGAAATAGTGAAACTACTAGAAAAAAATAAACAGTGACCTATAAAATATAGATGTAAGTAAGGACTTTCTTAATAGAACTTCGTATATACAAAAATTATGGGCAACAGTTGACAAGAAGGACTTCATAAAACAAAAAAAATATTCTGCACAGCAAAAGAAATAAGCAACTGAATGAAGAGGAAGCCCACAGAATGGGATAGAATATTTGCCAGCTATACATATCAGAGGATTAATATCTTGAATATAAAAGAACTCAACAATTTTATAAAACGGGCCTGGGTCCTGAACAGAGTGATCTCAAAATAAGGGAGAAAATAACTAAGAAGTATCTCAAAAAATGTTCATTGTGTCTAGCAATTAGGGAATAGAAATCAAAACAACTTTGAGATTTCATCATACGCTAGTCAGAATAGGAAAGATCAACAAAACAACCAACAACAAATATTGAAGGAGATACTGAGAACCCTCACACATTCTTGATGGGAATGTAAACTGGGGCAGTCACTGTGGAAACCAGTGTGAAGGACTGTCAAAAATCTAAAAATAAAACTATCATGTAACCCACCTCTACCACTCCTTGGCATACACCCTATGGATTCAACATCCTATTCCAGAGATACTTGTTCAGCAGTGTTCATTGCTAGTCTATTGACAATAGCTAGGAAATGGAAACAAATTAAATGTCCATTAACTAACAAATTGATGATAAAAACATGGCGCATAAACATTACATTACACATATACATTATGGAGCACTACTGAGCCATAAAGAAGATAGAATCATGAACTTTGCAGGTAAATGAATGGTACTAGAAAAGACCATATTGGGTGGGATAATCTAGACCCAGAAAGACAAACACTGCATGTTCTCTCATCAGATGTGAGAAGTAACAGTAGAACCTGAAGTAACAGCAGAAACCGGAAAAGTAAAAAGGAACCACTACCAAAGTGAGGGGGTAGGGAAACATTAGAGAGAAGAATAGCAAGGTTCAAGTGATTTGATCAGGGAAATAGGGAAATGAAGGTATCCAATTATGGAGGGGAAGAAAATACAGAAGAAAAAGGGAGAAGGGTAAAATAGTGATAAGGATGTTTGAATAGTTGTAAGACGTTACACTATTAGTTGTAAGACGTTACACTATAATTTACAAACGAAACCTATATAGGACTGCATATAAATATACATGTGTAGTTTAAATATTACATCTTCTCATCTGGGCTGACAATGTTCCCTATAAGAGCCAACAGGCATCTAACAAAACCCTCAAACACTAAGCATTAGAACCCCTATTTTGAACTGTTGGTAGCATTGTCCAAGAGGCTCCCAAAATACTACATGCTACTGTTATTATTGCTTTTGGCCTTGGTTGCACCCTTAGAGGTAGACATAAGTACCTATTAGTGAAGATACCATCTACTCCAAACATAAGTCCAAGAGGCCCCTGAGCTGGAATCAACCTGAGAGCTCCATCACTGAAGACTAGCTTTCATGCTACCAGTAGGTGATAAGTCAACTTCTAACGGAAGGAAACAACTAATAGTCCTACCCAGCTCTGACATTTATGAACCACAACAACCACCAGTATGGCATGAAAACACAAAAGTGCAAGAGTGGTACAGATACCTTGACAGTAACCAACATCCCTGTAATTGAACTTAAGGCCCAATCGAAAAAGGGAAATCATGACTAGTCAACTACCCAAGGATAGTGAAATCATGGATCTTGGAGGTGAATCTATAACCACCACTTTATTAAACCAGCATAACCCTCAATTACTTTCTAAATATTTTTTAATTACTTTTGAAATATTTGTCTTTATACCCACAGATAAGTATAGTTACCCCCAGCAAGAAAATTTCCCTTTGCCTAGTCCCAAAAGCAACAAAAAACAAACAAACAAACAAAAATCCAGAACAAACACAGCAACATAAAAAAACCATCAAACCTAAGGACTTGAGAACAATGAAGAAGAGGGAGTAAAAAGAAATGATAAAAGCTGTCTCTTAGTAATGTCATAAAGTACACCCATAAAGTCTCGCTAACATGCCTGCCCAAACTTGAGCTGAACAGGGACAACAAGAGATACACCAAAGTGCCCAGATGAAAGATTAAAAGGCCTTAACACTACACAAAAAAATTACAGGCAACTAAGAAATGCTGAAAGTGGGAGAAATCGTCTTCCCCAGGGAAGAACACACACACCAATTATTCAATAAAAACATGGTCCACACTCAAAACATATATACAAATAACATTAAACAGACTGAATTTATGTATTTCAGAATATATATGTATACACATATAAATGTACACAGGTGTCAAAAAATTAGTGTAAAAAGAGGCCATGAATTAGAAAGAAAACAAGTAGGGGTATATAAGAGGGTATAGACAGAAAATAGGGACAGGGGGAAATTATGAAAGAATATTATAATCTCAAAAACAAAAAGAATGTTTTAGACAGCAAGAATACTCTGGTATCTTTTAAATTTTAGCTGCTAATTTGGTTTTTAGAACTAAGCTATACTTTATAGCTCGGGCTGTTCCTTGTGCCTCAGCCAACCCAGTTCTGATGCATGTATACGTCACCACATGCTACCCTCACAAATTATCTTGAAATAAGTCGTATGAACAGAAATGTCACCAACTTAGAAAAAGTTAGTGCCTTCATAGAAAGAGAAGAAACAAGAACCACAAAATAAAACGTAATGTTACAAGAGTAAACATAAACAGTTTTCAATACAAGTATGACAGTAGAAATTAATAACAAGTTAAAAAGGAAAAGATGAAAGTCGAACAAGAAAGTGTATGAGAACAGAAACAGAAAATAAAGGGAAGGCAACCATTCATAAAATCTGGAAGATTTCCAGGACCAAAGAATCAAAGTATCAAGAGAATTCTTCTGCAATTCTTTAAATGGGATGAGTCAGATCTACAGACCTTTAAGATAAGTTTATTCTTATTAAATAGTCTTTAGCAGCCAACCGGTGCCAAGGCAGTTCCTAAAACACCACAAAGGCAACAATCCTTGCTGATAAAGTACGCATGATGCTTCCCACTACTAAGTGCAACCCAACCTGAGTGGAAAATATTATTGGTAACGTTTCAATATAAAAGAGATTGGAAGTTCCAGTAAGCAGTGAGAAAAAAAAAAAAAGGAGAAAACTTAAAGTGGACAAATTTGAAAAATTACCTCCCTATAAATACAAGGAGAAGCTCTCAGAAGAAGAACATGGTCTAGACATTTGTCTCATTCGCTCTACAGCCCAGAAAGGAAAGGACCTGACACACCAGGAAAATATCCAAGAAATGTTTGCTGGCCCAGCATACAAAGTGAACTGTGCCTGTGTCAGTCCTCCCAGGAAGCAAGATAGTAAGTTCCTAGTAATCTGTGAAGTAAGCTCTGTTAGACAGTCATCATAATGAACAGCACCTCTCTTGGAATAACAGGTCCTTACCTGCTGCTGGACTGGCACTTGCTGTACCACCTGTGTAGGCACTGCTGCTTGGCTAGCCACAGATGTCTGTAGAGTCACTGTCGAACCTGTGTCTGAACCCGTCTCTGAAGTCTGCATGATGGTCTCTGGAATATATGAAAACAGTTTATAAAGTGTTGGCTTTGCATGATAAGCCTCATTGCAGTTCTTAAAATCCTATACTGAGGCTTTCGAACATACAATACCTCTCACTCCAATACACTGTCATGATAACCCATCCACCTTTTTAGTCATTTTGACCTTTAATGAACCATGGTCTAAAATAATCAAGAAACTGAAGATCTCAGTACACAATTTGAAATAGATGCCTATGTAGAACCATACTTTCTAGATACTTTTTGAGGCTTTAGAGAAATTTAAACCCAGCCACATTGCTGCTCTGGCAAGAGATCATATCCAAAGACCTTCTAGGTTTATGTGATCCAGTAGAAATGCAGATACACTGTGGATTGCAGTAAGATCTGGCTGGAATACAGACATGCCCTTGTTGCACACCTTTATTCCGAAACAATGAAGGTAAGTTAGTTTATAGAAGGAAGCAGCCAAGTTTGATAGTGACATCTATTTGAGGGGCAAAGTGATGAATCAGAGAAAGATTGGACAGAATAAGTCAGAGACAGGATACACCCAACTCTAAGAACAGGATAGAAGGAGAGGCTATTTAAGGGCAGGGCAGTGAAAGAGAGAGATTTTTTATCAAGACCTTTCCAGGAAAGTTTTAGAGAGATAGTTGCAGAGAGGACAAGCTAGACACAGGTGAAGCCAGAACGAGCCAGAGAATAAGAGATTTTTACCAAGACCTTCTTTCCAGGAAAGTTTTACAGAGATGGTTGCAGAGAAAACAAGCCAAAGAATGAGAGGAATAAGACGATTAAAACATACTGCCAGAATTACGTTGAAGCCAGGCAGAACAATTCAGTCAGAGAAGCCAGTTTGATATCAGTCAGTGTGGAGAAGAGTTTAGGACAAAACAGCTGAGTTGAACCAGCCAGCTATATTTCAGAAAGAGCTAGAATGCCTGAGAACAGTTCTCATCTCATCCCTCCATCTGAGGAAATAACAATTATATGAGGCTATTAGGATGCCATATAGAAGAATATAGAATAAGACATTCATAAATGACTTTCTAAATTTAAAAAGTTAATAAATTTATTACATGTATATTATATCAACTGATACATTTTAAATTCAGCCACAAAATCAAATTTTCTAACTTTTTTAAGCTTCCATAGTTTGATAACTTTTTCTGATACTTAAAAATTCAATAAAAATAAATGTGAATTTCCTGGTATGTAGATAAAGGTAGGAGGTACGATTTAATTGGTTGCCTATGAAAAGTAATATATTGCAGTTTAAACTTGTAAAGAACACAGTGAGCATTTATGTTTCTTAAGAAAATTAAATTCTCAAGTATTCAGTTCTTTGGAGAAGAAAATTAATTCTTCTCAAAAATCTTTTGTCACAGTATGACCAATCCAATTCTTTTTCTACAATCATCATCTTGTTCTGCTTTAGAAATGGACCTTGAAAAATGACAAATCTATTCTTACTTTATAAATGCAAAATCTATAGCCCAGAGAGGCTAAGAAACATAGTAAAGGTGGTAAGAAAAAAGCTAGAACTGTGCTTTTCATTTTAACCTGAGTGATTTTCTCCAGAGTTTTATACAGACATTTCTGTACGTGATCTGTGACTTTCCTTATTGTTTTCTTAGTTAAAGTCCGAAAGCCACAAATGTTATTAGCCACGAAAGTCTAGCAGAAACAGCTGCCATCAGTTGTTTGACAGAAGGAAAAGGCTCTTCTGGATGTTTATTAATATAATTATTCATGAATAAATTAATCCATAAAACAACCTTTTAATGGAAGAATGTTAGTTATACTGAGGAAGGCAGAAATGAATGAAAGAGAAAGACTGTGGCCACTCTGTCATTTACACTGATAGGCTAATATTCAGCTCGAGGGTGCCCTGGATGTGTGAGAGGCCAATGTGTAGAAATGTGATTTTATTTTTTCAAAAGAAGCTGAAAAATCAAGATTTTTATGTGAAATAATACAAACTGTGGCTCTTTTAAATGTAACAATCCTATCAATAAATGTGTATTTGGACTAGCATTACAACCATGGAGATGCCCAAGACTGAGTGAGAATTCCATCACTCGCTATACAAAATTCTTGTTTGATTAGGATGGCGGGAGACACTGATGCTCTAATTTTAGGAGCCAAAGCTAGGTTATAGTTCAATGAAAGAGTGAGCTTACTTAGCCCCAGGAGAGATCCCAGCGCTGGCCATCCCCTTCAAAATTACCTTCTTCTTAAAAGAGAAAAATAAGTAAATTAGGAACCCTATCTCTTGCTTTTATTTTATTTTTTCTTCCATGACAAATAGTGAGAAAAACGGCAATCCAAAAATGAAAGCAAAAACCTTCCAGGTCCTTTGATTTAATATGTATATACTGAGTATTGATTACACTTTGTGCTGTAACAAAGAAGCTAAGTGTCTATCCAAAGCTTACTTTTGTGGAAGGAACAAGGAATGGACCAGATACTGGAGAGCATCTGCATCTGCCGAGAGGGTTCCGGTCTCGCAGAACTGAAGATGACCAGGAGACCTTACTTGTTTGGTGGTTGGATACAGGAGTCACATGTAGCCCACTGGCGCTCCCTCCTCACTCTGCCTCATTAGCAGTATGTGGGGTTCTCACAGTGGAGTCTCTTTCACTACTACTCCCTCCTGTTTTCCACAGAGCTAGCTGGAAGCTTTGCCAAGATTAGCTTATGTGCCAATATTTTGTATTAATTATTAAAATTATGAGGTTCTTCACTTTATAGGTGAGTAATTTGAGGCTTGCAGATGTCAAATCACTTATCACTTACTCACTACCACATACATAGGAAACAGAAAAGAAGGGTTTGATGTCACATGAAGTTCATGCTCTCAGCTTTACAGGAGATAATAGAAGCTCTGCATTTAACAATAAGCACGGTGCACAGGTAAATGTTAAAGAGAATTACAAAAAGTGGTCAGATTGTGGAATGAAGAAACAATATGTCAACTATTCAACAGGCGTAAACTAAACAAGTAAGGAGAAAAAGGTCATTTTTAAATTGAAAGCTAGATAGTAGGAGAGAACTTTCTGTTTGGCCTCCAGCTCTGTCTATAGAACATCAAAACTGACATAAAGAGCCCAACCTCGTGCAGCCAAGTATCAATCAAAACCCAGAATACTATCTGTTTCTTCCCAGTTTCTGTTCATTTGAGCAGCTTTTTAAAATTCATTAGATTTATTTTATGTGTATGAGTGTTTTGCCCCATACATATATGCACATGTATACGTGTGTGTGTGTGTGCACCAAATGCATGCCTGGTTCTCAAGAAGGCTCAAACAGGGTTTGGATCCCTTGGAACAGGAATTGTGGATGGTTGTGGGCCACCGTGTGGGCACTGTGACACATCCTCTACAAGAACAGCCAGAGTTCTTAAACCCTGATCAACTTCTCCAGACCCCCTGACAAACCCAGTTTCCTTCTCCAATTTCACTACCTCCATAGCCCTAAAGAAGAAACTCTCTGGCAGCCTCATGACTTAACAGATCTTATCTCACCACATCAATTCTGTAAACTGGCTGTAACGGGTATAAGTGCAATTAAGTCTACCATTTACTAAGGCTTTTCCTGACGCAAGAAACCAGTCTAATGCGGTAAGTACATTTGCTAGGTTAATTCTCAGAGGAAGCCCATGACGCAGATGTTATCCACATCTAGCAACTGTGGAAATTGAGACATGGATGATTTTAAACGTTGTTAAAAACATGCAGCCAGAAAGAGGAAGGATCTGATTACATTCTACGTCTGTGACACTTGAAAATCCATGCTTGTGACCACTGGGTACTGTGCTGCAGCCTCAGGGCAGTAGTTTCCAAACACTTGCCAGAGATGGGTAATAACAGTAGTTTGGGATTCTTTTTTGTTATTTTTATTTGTTTATTTTTCATATTAATTACAGTTTATTTACTTTGTATCCTAGCTGTGGCCCCTCCCTCCCTCCCAATTCCACCCACTCTCCCTTCCTCATCTCCTTCCTGACCCTTTCTAAGTCCACTGATGGGTGAGGTCCTCCTCCCCTTCCATCTGATCCTAGATTATCAGGTCTCTTCAGGGCTGGCTACAATGTCCTCTATTGTGGCTTAGCAAGACTGCTCCTCCCTCTGGGGGGGGGCAGTGTCAAAGAGCCAGCCATTGAGTTCATGTCTGAGACAGTCCCTGTTCCCCACTTGGATACTGAGCTGTGATGGGCTATATCAGTGCAGGGGTTCTAGGTTATATCCATGCATGGTCTTTGGTTAGAGAAACAATCTCAGAAAAGACCCCTGGGCCCAGATATATTTGGTCCTTGTGGAACTCCTGTCCTCTCCAGGTCATACTAACTCCCCCTTCTTTCATATTATTCCCTGCACTCTGCCCAAGGATTGGTTATGAGTTGCAGCATCTGTTTTGATATACTGTTAGGTAGAGTCTTTCAGGGGCCCTCTGTGGTAGGCTCCTGTCCTTTTACTTATTTTCTCCTAATTCCAATGTCCATCCCAATTGTCTTTCTAAGTGAGGACTGATCATCTTACTCCAGGCCCTCTTTCTTGTTTATCTTCTTTAGGTGTACAGATTTTAGTAGTTTGGGATTCTAATGCATGTTATTTAATATACACTTCCAGCAATCATGGACATTCATTTTACCCCTGTCCCTAAAGATATCAAACTATTTCCTCTATTGAAGCAAAAACAAATCCCCAGCTATTAAATATTTTTGCAGAACCACTTTACATTCATTAACTCTGAAGACCTAATCTTTTTTTTAACTTTTATTAATTACACTTTATTCATTTTGTATCCCCCCATAAGCCCCCCCTCCTCCCCCTCCCGGTCCCACCCTCCCCCCACCATAACCTAGAACCCTGACAATGCAGCAACTTCTGATGAGAACTGATAGACTAAGATCAGAAAGAAGGAGAGGAGGACCTCCCCAATCAGTGGACATGGGGAGGAGCATGCATGCATGAAGACCTAATCTTAAAAGCAGAACAAATGACAGT